TTCCAGGTTGCTTCTCTCTTTGATTAGTTTCCAACCATTGTTTCTTGTCCTGCCCTCTGGTGCTATGGAGAATAATTTGACCCCCTTTTCTTTGTGGCAGCCCCTCAAATACTGGAAAACTGCTCACATCAGCTAGGCTTACATGCTTGTCACTGCCCCATCCCAATCCTCTTTGTGGTGATTTGGACCTCTATCTTGCAGGGTGTGGTACCCTGGATGTCAGATCCAAGATCCTGTTCTATCTGTCTCGCTGCCCCAATGAATCTGGGAAAGAAAACAGTGATTGCTCAACCCCACTGCTTTGCCTGGTATGGATGTTATGGGGAAGGTCAAGAAGAGTCAGTTTGGTCTAGTAGTTAAGGCACCAAGTTGGAAAGCAGGAGACCATGAGTTCAAGTCCTGCCTTAGCCATGGAAGCCAGCTAGGTGACTTTGGGCCAGTTATTCTCTCTCAGTGCAAACCAACTCACAGGAGAGGAAGTTGCACTGGATATGTTCACTGCCTTGAGTTATTTGTAAAAAAATAATAAAAGTGAGATACAATAAATAAATAAATAGGTAAGTAGGTCGGTCAGCTGGTCAGTATGGCTTCTTGAATAGCTGGTACCAAATGGGCATTTAGCCATTTCTCATCCTAAACTTCATACATAAACCATACATAAACCTAAGTTCTCTGAGAACTTCTGAGAGCTACAGAAGAACTGCTGATTCTCTAAATAAATAAATGATACCGAGGAAGAGATGGAATGGCAATATGACACACTCATTGATGCAAGCTTACTTCATTTGTCAGCACAACCTAAATGAGAAAAGATTTTAAAAATTTGATATGCATCTAAATTATTCAAGCTAGGGAAATGGGTTTATTTTTGCTCAGGTTTCTCTTATCTCCCACTACAGTTACAAGGCAAAGAGAAGGTTGAAGGTTTCCCTGTGGGATTAAAGATTTTGTTTTAACTGGGTTTCTTCCCATATGAGCCTGTACCAAATACCTCTCTCAAATCTTACGCTCAGTTATAAACAAGATAAAAAGGCATTGTGGTACATTAAAGAGAAGCCAATAAAGCCTACATGGCTAGAGACTAGATTAGACTAGACTAGACTAGACTAGACTAGACTAGACTAGACTAGACATAGAATAGAATAGAATAGAATAGAATAGAATAGAATAGAATAGAATTCTTTATTGGCCAATTGTGATTGGACACACAAGGAATTTGTCTTTGGTGCATATGCTCTCAGTGTACATAAAAGGAAAAAAAGAAAAAAGAAAAAAATACAGTCATCAAGAATCATAAGATATAACACTTAGTGATAGTCATAGGTTACTAATAAGCAATCAAATCATACTAGGAAACAAACCGAACAATATAAATGGTAAAAATACAAATGGTTATAGTCATAAGTGGGAGGAGATAAGTAATAGGAAGGATGAGAAGAATAGTAGTAATGCAGTCTTAGTAACTATTTTGACAGTGTTGAGGGAATTATTTATTTAGCAGAGTGATGGCGTCGTTTTGAGGATAGGAGTTGAAACAGTTTATGTCCAGGATGCGAGGGGTCTGTAAATATTTCACAGCCCTCTTTTTGACTCGTGCAGTATACAGGTCCTCAATGGAAGGCAGGTTGGTAGTAATTGCTTTTTTCTGCAATTCTAACTGTCCATTGAAGTCTGTGTCTGCCTTGTTTGGTTGCAGAGCCAAACCAGACAGTTATAGAGGTGCAGATGACAGACTCAATAATTCCTCTGTAGAATTAATGTTTATAATTTTTAGAATTGCAAGCCACCCAGAGTCAATTGGCTGAGTTAGGAAGCTACAGAAACTGGATAAAATAAATGAAAAATAAATAAATTGGGGCACCATAACTCAACTGTTGTAAAAGCCTATATTATTCCTGAAGAAAGGAAAGCTGCATTTCTGGAACAGCCATTAGAGGGTACTAGAGGCAAGCAGTCAGCAGAAGTAATGGCCTGTTATACACACTGCACACACTGCTAAATACTAACAATCAAGCCAATGTTAAATACCCAATCAGATATTCATCCCAATTAAGGATGGGCAGTGTTCAAACATGATTGGCAAGAAGTGTTTCCAACCACACTTAGCAATTCTTTGCTATTCATTACAACAGTCCAACTCTTTTTAGCTTTTCCATGAGATTGAAAAAAAAATATGATCAAGAATCTCATCCATTTAGTTGAATGGGTTTCTTAAAAGCAGCATTTTTTTTTCAGACTTATGGAAAGTTTGGAAAAAGAGGGTCTGTTTTAATGGAGGAAAGCTTTTGCTCATGCAAGATCCAAGCAATTGTTCATACCACTGTATTTGCAACTTTCCTGATGAACAATCCTGTGTAACTGCAGCCACAATCCAATAGCACCCACAAATCAGGGGTGAAATCCAGCAGGTTCTGACAGGTTCTGGAGAACCGGTAGCGGAAATTTTGAGTAGTTCAGAGAACCGGTAGTGGAAATTTTGAGTAGTTCGAAGAACCAGCAAATATCACCTCTGGCTGGCCCCAGAGTGGTGTGGGAATGGAGATTTTGCAATATCCTTCTCCCAGGAGTGGGAAGGGAATGGAGATTTTGCAGTATCCTTCCCCTGCCACGCCCACCAAGCCACACCACACCCACCAAGCCACACCCACAGAACCAGTAATAAAAAAAATGGATTTCACCACTGCCACAAATGAAATATATAAGTAAGCACCCTTTAATATTAAGATTACCATGAACACAGCTGTGCCGTTATCCTGCCAGGCTTAGCCCTTACCTCCTTCTAGGTATCATCTATATTTCCCCTATATTTTCTATATTTTCCTTGCAGCCTGGGCTCTCCTCTCTAAGGGTTAATCAAGCCTTACCCTACTTAGATTCCCAGCTCAGACATGCAGGAGTATATTGTGGGGGGGGGAGGAAGTATAGTGGGGGAAGGGGTTGTTAAAGAATTCTTGAGGGCAGTCACAATCCGCCCCACCTCTTTTTAATGTGTGTCATATACAGGTAGTCCTCACATTGTGACCATCACTGAGCTCAAAACTTCTGTTGCTAGGCAAGACCTTTGTTAAATAAATTTCGCTCTATTTTACGGCATTTTTTTTTTTGGCCACAGCTGTTATGTGAATCACTGCAGTTGTTAAATTAGTAACACAGTCATTAAGTGAATCTGGTTTCCCCATTGACTTTGCTTGTCAGAAGATCACAAACGGCGATCACATGAACCCAGGATACAGCAACCATCATAAATAGTTGCCAAGTATCTGCCTGTTGATCCTGGGACCACAGGGATGGTGCAACGGTGATAAGCATGAAACACGGTCAGAAGTCGCTTTTTTTGTAATTTCCAACGGTCACTACATGAACTGTTGTAAGTCGAGGACTACCTGCCTTAAGCGATCCCCACCCCCACCCTACGGACGCCCCTGCCAGGCCCCGTTGGTTCTCACCTGCCAAGAAGCCAAGGGAAGCCAGCTACAAGTGGGGAGGGTCAACCAAGAATATAAATTGGGGTGGGAGGCGTCGAGAAGCAAAGAAAAATTAGAGGCAGCCACTCTGCAACCTGGTGCCCGTTTCTTCAGGGCTAATGCAAGCGGAGCACATTGCAACCGCCTTCCCAGACTGAGGAACTCCCCCCCCCCAACATTCCCCGTTTACTGTGCACCCCCTCCTTTTATCTCAGAAAGCGCTGAGACAGACACAGACTTCAGAGGATAATTAGAACTGCAGAAAAAACAATAACTACCAACCTGCCTTCCACTGAGGACCCGTATACTGCACGAGTCAAAAAGAGGGCTGTGAAAATATTTACAGACCCCTCCCATCCTGGACATAAACTGTTTCAACTCCTACCCTCAAAACGACTTTATAGAGCACTTCACAGCAGAACAACTAGACACAAGAACAGTTTTTTCCGAACGCCATCACTCTGCTAAACAAATAATTCCCTCAACACTGTCAAACTATTTACTAAGTCTGCACTACTATTAATCTTCTCATCGTTCCCACCACCCATCTCCTCCCACTTATGACTGTATGACTGTAACCTTGTTGCTGGCATTCTTTGTTTCCTAATATGATTTGATTGCTTATTTGTTCCCTATGACTATCATTAAGTGTTGTACCTTATGATTTTTGAGGAATGTATCTTTTCTTTTATGTACACTGAGAGCATCTGCACCAAAGACAAATTCCTTGTGTGTCCAATCACACTTGGCCAATAAAGGATTCTATTCTATTCTATTCTATTCTATTCTATTCTATTCTATTCTATTTATTTATTTATTTATTTATTTATTTATTTATTTATTTATTTATTTATTTATTTATTTATTTATTTATTCATTTATTCATTCATTCATTCATTCATTCATTCATTCATTCAATTTATATCCCGCCCTTCTCCTAGTGGACTCTCTATTCTGTTCCGTTCCGTTCCGTTCCGTTCCGTTCCGTTCCCTTCCCTTCCCTTCCCTTCCCTTCCCTTCCATGCTATGCTATGCTATGCTATGCTATGCTATTCTATTCTATTCTATTTATTTATTTATTTATTTATTTATTTATTTATTTATTTATTTATTTATTTATTCATTCATTCATTCATTCATTCAATTTATATCCCCCCCTTCTCCTAGTGGACTCTCTATTCCGTTCCGTTCCGTTCCGTTCCGTTCCGTTCCGTTCCGTTCCCTTCCCTTCCCTTCTATTCTATTCTATTCTATTCTATTCTATTCTATTCTGTGTCAATAGGCGGCCGTCACGATTCCCGTCTCTGTCTCTCTGTCTCCCGCACTCACCTACCCACCCCCCATACACACACACCGGCAGCCGCCATCTACCCAGCCCCGTCGGAGCCAGCATCAAGCCTACCGCCTGACGCGAGCCGACAGTCAGCAGCAGCGGCGGCAGAGGCGGCGGCGGCGACTGAGTCGGACTCTCCACGTGTCAGGGCGGGGCTAGTGGACGGCGAAGGCGGGGGCTGGGGCTGGGGCTGGCCGGAGCTCTGGCTGCGGAGCGCCAAGCACGGGTTCGGGCGCCTGGGAGCGGCTGCGGCATTGGCAGCGACCCGCTTTCTCTCCTCGCCTTCCTTCGCGCCGCCAGCAGCCCGGCTGGCTGTCACCGCCGAGGCCAAGGCGAGATGGGGCCCCTCAAGGAAAGCTGCAAGGTGAGACGGCGACGGGGCGGACGGGAGGGGAAGCGGGGACAGGGACGGAATGGAGAGGAGTAACCGCGGAGGGCGGGGGGGGGGTTACAGGGTGGGAGAAACCCCAGGTGTAGCCAGATCTCGTTTCCAACCCGCCCGTCTGCCGGCGTATAAGCTACCTACAGACTCGTGCCCAGAGGCACACGCGTGCATATACGTTCTTTGGAATGGGCAAACGCGTGGATATATATATATATATATCCACGCGTATCTATCTATCTATCTATCTATCTATCTATCTATCTATCTATCTATCTATCTATCTATCTATCTATAGATAGAGAGAGAGAGAGAGAGAGAGAGAGATATCTCACCCGCGCCCAACCTCCCTCCGTCCACGCAAAAATGCCCTTCGAGTAGCGGCGTTCAATGCCGGGGAGGGGGGGGCTCCTCTCATCCGTCACCCTCGACCGTGTTGGTCAGCCCCTCGTCCCTCGATGGGAGACTGCATGGGATGGATGGATGATGGATGGATGGGGAGATTGAATATTTGGTTGGGGGGTGGGGGGTGGGGCTGCAGGGCACCCTTATGGGGGGGTAGAAGCTGAACCTGATCCTTCCCCAGCTGAAGGTGTGCATCCTTCACACAACCACACTCACGCACACACACATACACAGGGAGGCTGACATCATTTTCTGTGGCTCTGCCTCTGCTGCGGATCTTTCCCTAGAATGGTTGGGTGGGATCAAGCTCAAAAATAAATAACGTCAGCCCAAAGCTCAGAAAGGTACGCGGGGTTGGGGTGATGGTGGGGTGGGGTGGGGTGGAGGGGAAAGGAGAGTAGAGAATGGAGCTCAACATATTACATCAGCTCAAAGCCGGATTGTCTCCCACCCCTTTCCCCGGTGTGGCCCGAGTCTTTTGGGATTCCAGAGTGGTGGTGAAGAGACAGAGAAGGACTCTCTCTCTCTGATAATTGTGTTTTGAGTCCCTCTTCCAGCTGATGCCTAGCATAATATATTCATTACTGTTCCTCCCTGGTGATCTCCAAGTCTCTCATTCGGGGAACAGTTTCTTTTGAAAGGTTAATGTATCTTCCTTCTTTGCATCTGACATTGGGGGTTCATGTCTAAATAGAGCCCCTTCCAAAAAAAACCAAAGCCAAGATCAATTAATATAATGTGATTTATTTTTATTTTTATTTTTTTTGGTTTTCCGAGGTGGGTTGAAATATATGTGGATTTACTGCAGAAGAGCTAAAGGAAAGGAGGTTGATCAGATCCCTGTATCAACCCTAAGAGGTTTTTGGATGTTGCAACAATTCTTTGCTCAAAGATTAACCGTCAATGAAAGGCCGTATCTTCAACTGGAGCCCCGTCATGAGTGGTTCCCTATCAAATGTTCATAATTCAGTAGACTCAAGGACCACTCTTGGCTTTGATCATGTGCCAAAAGGCCCACTGCCAAAATTAGACAGAAATGACACTTGATTTAATGAAATGAAATGAATGATTGATAATCATATTATAGTAATGATACAATGATAATGATTGATTGATAAATCAAATGATAATTCGATAAAGGAATTAATGAAATAAAGACTAAGATTACAGAACTATTACCACCCTGTTAGTTGCATTAACATTTGGAGATAACTGCTAGATAAGCTCTTAACTATGGCAGCCCTTGAGTTTCAGCTTGTTTATTTGTTTATTTATTAAGTAATATGATAAACATGTTCATGGACCCCTTTTTATGCACATTTGTCATATTTATCAATTCTGAGTTGACTCATTAAAGCATCCAGTGCAGTGATGAAATTCAATTTTTTTTACTACCAGTTCTGTGGGCGTGGTTTGGTGGGCATGGCTTGGTGGGCATGGCAGGGGAAGGATACTGCAAAATCTCTATTCCCACCCCACTACAGGGGAAGGACACTACAAAATCCCCATTCCCTCCCCACTCTTAGGCCAGCTAGAGGTGGTATTTGTCAGTTCTCCGAACTACTCAAAATTTCCACTACCGGTTCTCCAGAACCTGTCAGAACCTGCTGGATTTCATCCTTGATCCAGTGGCCCAATGCCAAAGTTACTAATGGAATGAATGCTTAAGATCCACCTAAAATCAGTTCTAGTTGACCGGGGGAAACACCAGGCCAACCCTTGCCCAATCTTGAAAATGTTAAACTAGATCAAGTGGGAAAGAAAAAATTCTAGATCCAGAACCTAAATTGGAGGGTTGGGAAAGCATCGTGAAAGCCATGGTGGACCACTTCTGTATTGCTATGGAGAAAACAGCTTGGATGTGTCAATAGGAGTCAAATTTAGCTCAAAGATTTACCTATGAGATTACTATGATAGATTATGAAACCATTTTGTTTCTAGCCTTACTCTGTCATGGGAACATCTAATACACCTGACAATATGATGCTGTTCAGGTGTGTATGTTAGAGTTGGACCTCTTGTCTCGATTGTATTGGATAGGACAGTGTTTCTCAACCTTGGCACCTTGAAGATGTATGGATCAACTCCAGCAAACACATGCTGGTTGGGGAATTCTGGGAGTTGAAGTCCACACATTTTAAGATTATCACCCTTGAGAATCACTGAGCTAAGGAATCCACTGTGGAATACCACATTGGGGAAAGCTGATTTAGCTGCATCTGTGTTATTTCAAAGATGTATGAAAATGTTTAAGGATGGAAAGTGGCTCCTATAGATGGAAAACCCTCATCCTGTTGCTGAGCCACAAACTTTTCTTTTTTTTCTCTTTCAAGAAAACAAAGTTATTGCTTTCATAAAATCATTAATTTAATTTTTAATTTAAATTTAATTAATTATGATTACAATAATTAATTCACAAAAGAAGATAGAGAACGCAAAGACATACACATTGTTACAAGCAGGGGAAAGAAAGAAAAAAGGAAATGAGAAATACATATAGGAAATCATTCAGCCTAATGCTTAAACACAGCTCTGTTTATTGATTGTACATTGATTGATCAGTCAGTTACATTGATAGTAAGGAAATTGGTAAACTTAAAGCAAATGCATATTGGCAATTCAAAACAGTAAATTTGGAATGACATTGGCTTCCCAACACATAAAACTGAACTTATTTGTCCCCTCACTCCTATTCTTGATAAATCCATAATTCTTCATACTTTTTTTTAAGTGCACTTTTTAAACCAAAATGAGATCTATCATGGGTCAAACCCGATCAATTAATGTGTATTCATGCTTAATTTACACTTCCAATTAAATGATGTTGTTTGCCAAGTTTCTTAAACATTTTCTGGGATTTCCAATAAATCAGAAGAAAAATGATAAATGAGAATAATTAAATAAAGCTTTAAGACTATTATCAATGAATCCTTTATATTGCAATTGGATATTGTAATTGTTTATTCCAGAATTCCTGGAAATAACTAATACTCACCTTTGCAATCCTCTTTGTGTATGAAAAATATAGGTATGGCATCATCGAAACATGGGAAATATTGATACTGATATGGAATTTTGTCCAGTATATTTTGAAAGAGTTGTAAAAACAATATCCTTTAACTGAAGATGAGAAGCCAATTCTAATTTTAGACAATTCAAAAGCCATTTACAATAAGTCAGATAATGGCAAAAAGCTGATTTGAAGTATTAATACCTCTAGCTGACCACAACTTCCATACCTATAATTTTCCAACTGTGATCATTCAGGAATACAAGTTAATCTTGGGAATAAGGATCAAAAATACATTTCTGTCCCAAATTCATTTATTTATATTTGGGTGCTGCCCAACTTCAAATCAACTCTGGGCTGCTCACAATATAACATTGTAAATAGATTAAAACACAATGCAAAATAAGTAAATAAAATGGGATTTATTCCCTCTATACATAATCATAGAAAAAAACATGTTCAACAAGGGACTCCGTCCAACCTGGAAAACTGCCAAGTCTTTAAGGCTTTCTGGGAAACCATCAAAGTGATGATGAATTTTATGAATTAATGAATCATGAATTTTAGTGGACACCAAATGTGCCTTCCAGCCTCTAATGTAAAAATGATTAATGAATAGAGAGGTGGAAATAGAGATAAACTGCCCCATAATGTTGAAAAGGTCACACAATAACTTTCTAATTATGATCATAGTGTGTGTTTCTTTTAATTTAATCACTTACGTTCCATAGCAAGGTTAAAATACTGAATATGCCCCTTGACCATAGCCAAAAATCAGAGGTGATTCAGTTACTATATCGTAGCTGCAAAGTAGATTTTAAAAATCTAGAAGGTTGCTCTTTCTGTATATAAAAAAATGGCAAAATTTAATATCTTCTCAATCCATTTTTAAAAATTAGGAATATTTTTACATAGAAGTAATAATCATTTTTACATTATATTTTTACCTTAGGATTTATAGCTATTTGTGTATGATCAAAAACATGTTTATATCCACTAATAAAGAAACTTTCCTCGGAATAAATATTTACAGAATTCAAGCAGTGATTGAAAGCCAATTATTACAAATTGTTATAGAAATATTAGACTCTGTAAGAAGGATATGGAACTTCAGTTAATTAAGTAATCTGATAAATTATCAAACTGTAAATATTGGTGTAGAAAAATAGGTAGTCATAAATAAGATGTAATAAGATATAATACAGTATAACATTTATGAATAATTTGTATTCAATTCAAATAGTGTCGTACTGAAAATCTCCTGTGTTTGATAACAGACCATTTGTTTCAGTTTTACAAATCAGAGATAAAGGAGGTATTTTACAAGTTATAAAGTATCCTGCTAAATGAACAACTAATACCATTTGTAATAACCCTAGCAAAGGAAATATAATACAATGTATTAATTCAATTAAAGCAACAAGAAAATCCACACGGGATTTATTTCAAAAATTGCCATGGTACCATATCAAAGGCCTTCTCTGCATTCAATGATGCAGAACATCATCATCACTGGTTTCAATAGTTTTGTGCTTAGAATGTAGTCTAAATATACATATATGTCTGTAGAGATTCTCAGTCATCCAGGTCATGGTTGTCCCAAAGGTGCTTTTTCAGGAGGCAACTGGACTTTCTTGTTTTTTCTTTTGAAGATGTTTCACTTCTCATCCAAGAAGCTTCTTCACCTCTCACAGGATAGTGGGGAATGGAAGGATTTATATTCCTTGCAGACAACTGGTCATCTGAATCCTCTTAGCAGGTGGTTGAAGCACTTGGACATTTATCTGTGTCCTCAGGGTCATCTGAGTAGTGCTCCTGGTTCCTGTGGTCTGCATTTTTTTCCTCTGGAAATCCATTCCTACTCCTACTCCATTCAAAGGGCGTTCATCCCAAATTGTAGAGCTAAAAGTCTTTTAGATCCTTCCATTTCCCACTATCCTGTCAGAGCTGAAGAAGCTTCTTGGGTGAGAAGTGAAACATCTTCAAAAGAAAAAACAAGAAAGTCCAGTTGTGTCACTGCGTTTTTGTATTTACCAGATGAGCTCTTATTTTTGAACTTTCAGACTTACCGTAGCTTGCCAAGTTCTTATCTCTAAGCTAACTGCGCATGTCTACATTCTTTCACTTTCTTCTAACTTTCTTTGTTTTCCGGCCAAGAGGCCCAGCAGGAACGCTGCCAAGATGTAACTAATTAGATTAGTAAGATGTTTTATTTTCTTTATAGCAAATAAATGAGTTTTTCTTAGAAAATATATCTTCGGGTTTATTTTCTTAAAGTTTACTTCAAGGAAAGGTCACGATCCATTCTCTAATCAAGGTGCAATTACCCAAAAGCAGAATGGGATTAATTGCCACCCTGACAAGTTGCCTCCTGAAAAAGCACCTTTGGGACAGTAGTGATTGATCCAACTTTCAATAGAAGAAAATATCTATACTTCTGATATGAACTGTGGAATTCTCGGTGCTCTTTGAATGTGGTAGTTTGATTGCAGAAGTTACCCATTACCCAGCTAGGTAGCATCATCCGTATGAGTGACACTACTTTCTTTTCCCTTTAGAAGGATCACAAGATGCAGGACAAGGAATTTTGCCGCAGCCGGATTCCTCGCCTGGTACTTCGGCCTCATCTCCCCCAGCAACATTTCCAATACCAGAAGGTGTCTCCAGCATCCGAATCCCCCTTTTCTGAAGAGGAAAGCAAAGAATTCAACCCTTTAAGCTCATCTGGAAGGTCTGCCAGGACAATCAGCAGCAACAGTTTTTGCTCAGGTATTAAAGAAAGAATGTACATCCATTAGGATAACTGGCTGTTTTTATACTATCATCATTGAATGGTCTTAGTGGTCTTCTAATCCCCCCCATGCAACTTTCATTTACCGTGTTTCCCTGAAAATATGATCTACCCTGAAAGTAAGCCCTAGCTTGATTTTTAGATGTGCACCCAATATAAGTCCTATCCCCAAAATAAGCTCTAGTTAAGACCCCCTGCCCATTCTGAGGTGTACAGGGTAGAGCGAGGCGCACAGGTAAAAAGCTAGTGGGGGGGATGTGAGGTGGAGCTGCCCTACTTACCAGGCTTCACACACCCTGACACCTGCCTCGCCTTGCAGGCCCACTTCTCCTGTGGCTGCTTGCTTGCACGTGTCGTCCCTGCCTCCAATCCAGAGCTCTGTTATTGGCTGCTGAGGGCTTTCTGGAAAGCCTCTGATGGCAAAATGGAGCCCAGTGAGCAGCGGCAAGCAGCTGCAGAAGAGGTGGGCTGGCAGTGGGCTCAGTGCCACCGCCACGAGGTGAGTCAATAATTAGACATTCCCAAAAATAAGACCTGGTGCCTTTTTTGGTGGCAAAAAAAATAAGACCGGGTCTTATTTTGGGGAAAACATGGAGTATATGTGTCAGGCTTCTCCTATCTTGGTCATTTAGAAAGAATGAGCTTTTAACTTTCTTAAGTTCATCATGAAAGGTTTACTTTTACTAAAGCCAAGTGGTTACAAGATAGGGAAAAAGCCAGATCTGAGGTTTGCGTACAAAATCTACCTCCTTACTTTCCCTGGTCCTCCCTCCCCCTTTATTTCCCTAGTGTCCGATTGAATTCAAACAGGTTGTTTTGGTAATGGTCTTGGCGGGCTCAGCGATGGTCCACATTCCATTCCCAGACTTGTGACCTTGGGTTGGCTGACCAATGTCATTGGCAGGCACTTGCAGTGGTTTCAGTTTCTGTTCAGTTTTTTACCCGCCTCATTCCCTCCCCCTGGATTCATGGCAGTCTGGCATCAGCAAAACAGAAATGAGATGAAGCAGGATGACAGCACTGACAGTTGCCCTCTCTCTACCACTGGGGATAATCTGTAAGTCAGCAGTTATAAATTTATCAAGCCTCCATCTAAAGATGTCTAAGTATGGGTAGTTTTCAACTTACGACGTTACTAACAACTGTTCAACATTACGTTTGAATCCCAAAAATCTACTTACAACCTAGTTTTGAGGTTCCTGCAGTCACATGACTATATTTTGGACACTCAGCAACCAGCCTGCAGTTACGGCTGTTTGCAGTGCCTTATGGTTACATAATCATAATTTACAATGCATTTGTCAGAAACCAGCATTTACTTCCAATTTCCAACACAAAACTCCTCGTAGTGATAAATGGGTTTGCTCAACAACCATCACATTCACTTTATAAGCAGCATATTCATTTAATGACCACTGCAATACAGGTTGTAAAATCAATTCTAGTCACATGGGGACCTGTTTTACAACCGTCATGAGTTATGATGGTTTGCCGAGCTCCATTATGGTTATAAGTTGAGGATGACCTGTATGGAATTCATTACCAGAATGATAAACTGATGATCATTATTGAAAACTGGTCTTTATAAATGGGGGAGAAAATCATCTCCTTTCCACGCTATACAATTCCATAGCCATTCTGGCACATTTGGAAGTGTAAGCAAGTGCTATTAATGTTGCTGTGATGGGCGTGGCCTGTATAAAACACCTATTTCATAGAAGGGAAAACTGGTCAAACTATTGGTCAAATCAAGTAATTTGTCTAGGAATCTGGATGCATGCCAAAAGTTAAGAGCAGAGCCCCAGATGCAGACCAACAACTTTGAATCCAGCCATTTGCCCATCTATTGCCCAAGAAAGAAAGATTTGTAAAGAAGTTGCCCAATAGACATGAGGTTTGAGCCTCGAAACAGTAGACCAGAGGTCTTCAAACTTGGCAGCTTTAAGACTTGTGGATTTCAACTCCCAGAATTCTCCAGCCAGCATAGCTGGCTGGAGAATTCTAGGAGTTGAAGTCCACAAGTCTTAAAGCTGCCAAGTTTGAAGACCTCTGCAGTAGACCATCTCTTTGAATGCAGAAGTCTTTCTCTCATTTTTGTATCCTTCCCTGGACACATACTACTGATACCAGAGGTGGTATTTAGCTGGTTCAAACCGGTTCGGGGGGAACTGATAGCGGCCCCGGTGTAATGCTGTCCTATTTAGCCACGTTTTCAAGGCCGAGTGCATGTGCGGAAGGCACATACATGAGCAAAGTGCAAGCGCGGAAGGCCGGGTGCATGCGTGGAAGGTACACGCGCGAAGCAAACATGCACGTACATGGCGAGCCAATGGTAAGAATATGTGAAACCCATCTCTGACTGATACCTCTCTGATACCCATACTCAAACATGCATGGGTAGAACCTTTTCCTTTCTTCTAACCCAGGTCTCTCAGATACTTCCTGCCCATTCCATTGGGTCAACTTCTTCCTTCTCTTCACATTTTTATAGGATCATCTCCTGCTTTCTCTGAGATTCCTCCTAACCAAATGGTAGCAATGGAGGCTATTTTTCTCTTTTCTCAGAGGATAAGAAATGGTCCAAATGTTAATTTGGACACATAGTTTTTTTTTTTTCTTAGTGACATGAGAAAGGTCCACAGCTTCATACTCACCATGTTGCCTTCTCCCCAAGATAGAAAACTGCAAAGGATTTGGTGATTGTGAATAGACCAGCCTTAACCAATCAATTCTAGATGTGTGGAAGGGGGTATTAACTGAGAATCCTAGGAGTTGAAGGTCACAAGGTCAGTCATGAAGATTGAGGTCACACATTAGTTTCAGTTCAGAAGATTTGTTGCTCAATCTTGTACACAAGAATCTAGTCAACTAATGAGCAATACTTAATTGGTGCCAGATAAGGGTCAATGATATTCAAGAGGGGTTGGATTTGGGTCATTTGTGGTAACATAATGACTCTAGGTTGATGACTCACTTAACTCCTCCCTAGCTCTGCCCGCTTTTCTCCTACACATACTAACTAGGGTAGAGTCTTTAAACTCTGGAAGGACTGGGAAGAGATGTCCACATATGGGTACATATGCAAAGGAGCAGGGCTTTGATTATGCAGTTGCATCCACCATCTTGGTCTTTAATTCCCCACCATCCACAGACTGTCTATGGGCAAAGCATCCTCCAAGTTCCTTTTTTTCATTGCATTTTTGCCATTCAGTATCTTTTTCTACAGGGTTTTTCATCCACTGATGCCTACTTAATGAGACTGTGACTGGAAAACACAGAAATAATTATTAAAACGTTCCTTTAACTGGTTAATGTTGCCACTTTGGATAAAAAGGACTGCTTTAGCCAACCATTTCAAATACTGAACTATCAATACCATCAAAAAATTAACTATTTATAGAGTCACTTGGGGGCAATTGTTCCATTCCTTGCCAATTAAACCTATGGAGAATCAGTTGGTTTGGTGAGTGATAACCATCATTTAGTTTGTCAAAAACATGCTTCCCAAGAGGCACAGCTTGTTTATTGCTTGCTTCTTCCAAGTGTTGTAATGCTTCAGTACCTGCGGTAGAGCTAAAATAATTGTTGATGAGATGTTCCATTGGCTAAAACCACGTACTGCTGTTTGAATTAGTAGACAATTATTTTAAAATCTGCCTGAAAAGATGGCATAGCTCTTTCACAAATGTTGCTGGGGTTTACACATTGTCGACAGATGTTTGATGTTCTTTGGTCACCCTGTATAAAATATGTGGCTTATCCAGCCTTCATCAGCTTAATAGATTCCAGATTGCCCTTCCTGGCTGAGGGATAAACATTGCTGCCCAAGGGCATCAGGATGGAAGGAATTACAAATTTCTGATTTTATAATCCGTTAATGCTGTTTAACTTATTTAACTCATTAATATTAATGATCCACCAGAAACAAACTCTAACCCAGAGGTCTTCAAACTTGACAGCTTTAAGACTTGTGGACTTCAACTCCCAGAATTATCTAGCCAGCATAGGATAGCTGGCTGGAGAATTCTGGGAGTTGAAGTCCACAAGTCTTAAAGCTGCCAAGTTTGAAGACCTCTGTGTCTAACCCATTCTAAGTCAATGATCAAATCTGTCAGCAGAGATGATTCTGGTAGCTGTAGTGTGCAAATGAGAGAATATCCTTCTCTTCTTTGTAGATGATTTTGAAGGGTGCTGTGGATTCAGTTTCTGAAAGGTGCTTTAGAACATGATCGTAATACCTGTCAGTAGCATATTTAAAAATTTATAACTGTGGAAGGTACCCTTGTGATCCTGAAAAAAAGGACAACTGTGTTCCAAATCAGGGATCTCCAACCTTGGCAACTTTAAGCCTGGCGGACTTTAACTCCCAGAATTCCTGCTGGGTGGGGAATTCTGGGAGTTGAAGTCTGCCAGGCTTAAAGTTGCCAAGGTTGGAGACCTCTGTTCCAAATAGTTGCTTGTTTGCATTCCCAGGTCTTCAAAGCTCATTTTGGAGACTAGAATCAAATTTCTACATAGCCTTAAGGCTTAGGTAAAGATGGGGCATGAATAGGTCCCTGGCTAGTATTGAATGTCCAATGTTATTCAGCAAACCTAACCAACATGTTAGAAATAGGAAAGATGAGTTTATATTTCACTGACATCAAGAGCCCTACAGGTTGCCCAGTGCTGGATTAGTGGATTAGAACTGGAGAATGCCAAATTCAATCCAACTTCACCATGAAGCTTACTGGGAGAACCTCAGCCTCACCTGCCTTATATGGTTGCTGTGAGGATTAATTTGGAGGCATTATGTGATATCTGGAGATACTTGAGGATGAACAGAAAGATATAACATGCACATGGCATAAGTGGAGCAGTGGTGGGTTTCAAAAATGTTTAATACCGGTTCTGTGGGTGTGGCTTGGTAGGCGTGGCTTGGTGGGTGTGACAGGGGAAGGATACTGTAAAATCTCCATTCCCACCCCACTCCAGGGGA